CAGTACTTTTAAAATTTAAAAAGAAAACAAAGTACCACTGATGCGCATTTTCTCAACCTCTCTCTGTAATTGACCTCCACTGCAAATCTCTTCAACAGAAGGGGCATCTTTAACACCCATGCTGCAAACCCCTCTTACATTATCCTGGATCCCCTCTGTCACATCAACAACCTCTTCTCTGCTCAGTCCTATATCTCAATCTCACATGTCCCAGGCCCTTAAGGGATACTCTTCTCACTCTTAAGCCTCTTCACCTTCACTGCCACAGTGATATACTTCTAAATCCACCTAGCTGCCTAGCTGTGACTTTTTATGTTTCAGTGTGTGTGTGTGTGTGTGTGTGTGTATATATATATATATATATATATATATATATGTATATATGTATGTATATATGCATTGACATAACACAATTAGAACCAGCTTTCCAGCTTTCTTGGGTTTACTGCAACTTCTACCCATCCACAAATTGCACCCACAAAGACCCCCCTCAAAGATGAGGAATCTGAAAGCAGACAACTTGAGCCAGGCTCCCCTGGTTCTGTGAGAGCACTGTCACTACACCCTGTTCAGTTCTAATTCTCTCGATTCTCAGAAGCTTGGGCTATGTCTGCCTGGGTCTGCTTGTGGCTCCTTGTTCTTTCCTGCAGGCCAGTTTCTGTAACTGCCTATGCCCAGAAAACATGTTTTACTCTCTCAGCCTTGTTACAAATTTTATTGAAGATTTGGAGGGACAGTCAGATTTAGGGTGACCAAGCTGTCCTGGCTTTAGCATTCAAGTTCAGGCTCCCAGGAACCTCCCCAGCCCTGTGCAACTGGTCACCTGAGATCAAGGAGGAGGTCCAGCTTTCCTTCGCGATCTCCCCTTGCCCTCAAGTTGCCCATGAATTACTGGCCCACCAACTACTCTGTCCCTCTGTGGTCCTTCGGGTTTGTTTCCAGCTGCTACTTCCCCTCCTCCCATCACGTTTCAGCAAATCCCACCATCTTGCACATTTCCCTCAGCCATTCAAAAGCCAGCCAGCAGGGCTCAGTCACACAAAAACTACCTACAGTTTCTCACATTTGTGGAGCCACCTTCTGTGTGTGTGGGGGGGGGGGGTGTATTTATTACCTCAGTGATAGAACAGTGGTTACCTACAGGAAAGTGAACTGCACCAAAGACTGACTGGAAATTGGAGGTTGTCCCTTGTCATTCATTTTATTCCAAAACATTTCATATTCAAGCTTTATCAAAAACTAACACTAACAGAACATCTTGAAACTATTTCACCTTGCAGTTTCTAGACGCCTGTTCTCTTTTTGCCCTAAATCTTCAGACTGTTCTTCAGGAGGGATTTCTCTCCCTTGTCTCCACACTGAATTGATGTACTCCATGATTCTGCTCTTTCTCCCCACACTCTTGGGCAATTTTGGTTTCAGCAAAACTGGGGAATTCATTCTTTCTCCTCCACCCCTTTTATTTCTGAGTGTATTCACTTTTCTAAAAAGATGCTACACTTAAAGCAGGCTTGTTCTGGGGGCTGTGATGGATAGTTGAGATGGGAAGTTTGGGGTGGATAGATTTGACAAAAACATTTTGGGTTTTGTTTCCCCAAGATACCATTTGCTATAGATTCAAGTACTTTTTTGGTCCCCTTTGCAAATCGAACCAAATTGTCCCACTCCCAAAGTTGTTGTGAAATGGAAGTAGTCCCTGCAAGCACTGACAACATGCATAAAGAAATGCTCAACCATTGTTAGTAACTGACATGATCATTGTCTCAATAGACTTTAAAGAATGTGGCTAACAGGGTCTTTTCCTTTGGGGTAGGAGTGGGGATTAGGAACAGTTTTCCAGAGAGAATATATTGTCCTTGTAAGTCAAGTTAAGGAATCCCCACTGGCCGGGAATAATTTACTAATGAATCTGGTGACAAAGAAAATGAGTTTAAGCTAGTGAAATAAATGCTTTTTAAATTACTTTTTTTGGTTGTTGTTTCTTAACACATCTTAAACTTACTGAGTCTTCACACAAAATTCATTGAGTCAAACCAGATCCCCCTCGTGCACAACTATTGCTCTTCCACTTACCCCACTGTGGAATGCTGGGATGGATGCTACCCAAGTATGAATGCTTGTAAGGCTCTCAGATAAAGGGAACACATGCACGGCATGCAGCTACAACCACCAGACCACCCTCACCTAACAAGCAACTAGGTGAAGTTATTTGTATCAGAAAATGAAATTCCAAATATAGCCTTTAAAGGGCTAGAGGCAAAACTGCTGCCAGGATAAGCACTTTGGGGCCCTGGCCTGCTTGGCTGTGCCCTACAGGGCTGGCCTAAGTATTTTTGGGATGGTGATGCAAGCAGTACTCTTCACCCAGGGCATGCAACTAGTGTTTTACAGGATCACCTAAAGTAGATCTTGGGGCACCTTGCTAAGCAACAAGCTTGGCTCTAGAACTTTTTTTTTTTTTTTTTTTTTGTGGGAGAAACAGTGGTGAGAAAGCAGGGTTCCCTCCTCCCCCAAATTAAACCTGGGGCATCTTAATAAAATTCCCTAAGGTAAAACATGTGAAAGAATCCAAAGAAATACTTGGCAAGCAAGAATTTTTCAGAGCTCAAAATATCCAGGTGGGATATTTCAGGGGAATACTGACTGCATGTGTTCAGTACCTTTTTTTCAGACAGTGATTGAGATCCCATTATATATTGTCTTCTAGTTTGTTTACTCCTCTTACCTTGTAATTTTCCAATATATTCAGCATATTATAAAAATTCCTTAATTTTCCATCCTCTGTGTGCAAGAAAAGATCATACAATTATTCCTCTATGACTAGAGATTTATTTATGTATTTTTTGATACACACAAGAACTGGGGTGTAGGCCAGAGGTGCAGAGACAGAGTGGGGAGCAGAACAGGCACTGAAATACAATGAAAAGCACTTGGGCTGCTTTGAGTGGCTGCTGATACCTTGTTGTTAGGGCTGAGACTAACCCCTGTGTCACCAGGGAGGCCCTATTTTTACATTTTGTCATAAATAAGGATATAATAACCATTGGGTTTAAATGTGGGTACTGACCTGATTATTCCCTTAGGATAGTTTTCAAAGAAGTTGGCTCTGATAGGGTCAAAATCTTCATCATGTTTTATCACTCCTCCCTGTGGTAGGAGCTTGTGTTTTGCAACATAATCTCATAACTATTGAGTGACTATTAAATTTGGTATGTAAAAGTTAAATTGTTTTGATTTTACTGAATGTCTGTCTTCATATTAGTTGTTTATTTCACCTTCTGTGAGTTGTTGCATCCTTTTTAATTTTACTCTTGGCATCTTAATGCTTTTTTTAAAATATACTAACATAAAGGGAGTTAAAGGCAATGGGAATGACACTAAAAGTTACAAGGTTCCGGCCCTAGCTGGTGGTGCAACAGGTTAAAGCACAGCGCTGTGAAGCTCTCAGCAGCCACTGCTGACCCAACTGGCGCGGCAGACCTCTCCTGTCTCACCGGCTGCTCCCCTCAGCAGTGTATTTCACTTGATCTGCCTCTTCTGCTCCCTACTCCCTACCCCTGTACCTCTGGCCTGCACCCATTCTTCTATACATAATGTAAAAAAATCTTAAAAAAAAAAGTTCTAGGGTTTCATTTGGGGGGTGATAAAAAGCTCTACAGCTGGTTGTGTTACATTAAAAAGCAATGGATTGCAGACTTTCAGTGGAGGAATTGTGCAACATATAAATTGTACTTCCATATAACTTTTTCTTAAAGATTACCATTTGTACGATGGTTTTCAACCTCCCTTTCAAATTTTTGACATTTTCCAATTCTGATTGGCTTTTGCTTTCCTATATTCAGAAGAGCTTTCAGGTAAGCTCACAGTCTCTTCCCTAACAAACCTCCCACTATTTTTGTTGAGAAAAAAACCATAAAATGCACATAGTCAATTCACATATCCTAATTTATTTTCATTCCTAATCCACCATATGTACATTATGAAGTCATAATCTGATGTTCTACTAATGGATACATACACTTCATTAAATTTACCCCTCCTCACTATGTTCTGATAGTTTCTTTGGAATTTTTTACTTATACTAACATCTGTTCTTGGACTATCATTGTATCAGTTTAGAGTAAAAATGTAAATATACACTTTCAATACTTTTAGCCTTAAAATGTAGCTTCACATCTAACAATCTATTTACTTTTTCAAAAAGTAGATTCCTAGCTTTTCTTGCACCTTTTCTTTCATATGAAATTTTATCAACTCTTTGACAATAGAATTGTTTTACCTTTAACTAATGCATTGATCTCGAAAGAAGGGACAGGTTTAAAATATTTATGAGCTAGGCACACAATGTTTGTCTATACAGGGCTTCCATTTTCACATTTCCACTCACATAGTAAATTTGTCTGCCATTTTGCAGCATATTGTCATAAGGAAACATTCCGATTATATTTTATTTTCTTGTTAGGTATGGAAAAATTTTTGACCACTGGGTTACCTGTAGATTAATTTGAAGATGAAATTCCTGGGCTTTTTATTTGGACAATAATATTTGCAGTAATAATTCTCCTCCTCAAGAGGACATCGGTGGCAAGGATTCAAAATTTAGGGGTGAAGAGGTCTTGCTTTTCCCTCAGTCATATCTGCCACATGTAAACCATAGCAGCAGAGGCAGTTAATATTTCTGGCATTGAGCCAGGAACTGACTGGAAAATTGTTCTTCCTCAATAGATACAAGCTGGAGCTAGTAATACCCTAGAGTGTAAGTGTTTATCACATTTTATTCTTCTAAAGTTTCCTCAATTTATTTGTATAATCTGTGTTAATGTCCATCCTCTTCCTCTCGGACACTTCTGGGAAATTAATCTTATGTTTTAAGTTACTACACAACACTTAGCTATAAAGTCATCAACTACTAAATTTAATTATTTGAGTGCTGGTAGCAAACAAACCAAAAGGAATAATTTGTGGAGACACGACACTGATTTTGAATAGTTGACTTTAATACTAGTTCCAAATGCATTCAGTCATACCCATGTGCATTCACACTTGCCAGGAAGTCTTGCATTTATTTTACATTTGACATGATATATCCACCACAAAACTGCAGTTTACGTTGTTTAAGTATTTGTGAATGATTTCTATAATTCCCTGTAAAAACCATAAATAACTATAAAAAGAATTTATTATTTAAAAGCTGACATGTGAATCTATTTAAATAATTTATCTTTCCCAAAGTATTTCCATTTTACTTCCTGACTATGCTACAAGATTCTTTCTGAAGCCCTGCTTGATTCTTCAAACTGCCCACCCCAGTAGCATGAATACCAATTACCTTACATTATGCTGTAAAGTGTAAAATAAGAGACCCAGTGAACAAATTCTGTATAAACTCTAAAACCAGGTATTAGCAACAAGGTACCTTTGAGTGAGGAGGTATCACAGCTATAAAAGAGAATGTGTCCAGTTTTACTATGAAACTTAAGGAAGTGGACTCCAAAGCCCAATTTTTTGTGTCTGTGAGGAAAAAAAGTCCCTTAAGACATGCCAGTCTGAATGTACATCAGATGCAGTCACACTACAGTAAGAGTGCAAAGATGAAAACGTGGAATAATTTTCAATTTTGCTAAATTTAAAAACTCCATACAATTAACAGCAGTGGGCATGATACCAACAACCACTGACTCCAGGCAAGGGCTCGATTTGTTCACTGTACCATTGTTTTCGCTTTCCAGGAAATTTGTAAATTTTCAAATTATGATGTGAATAAAGTCTGTCAGACAAGACACTATGAAGCAAAAAAAAAATACAAGACATAGACACAAAGTGTGGATCACTGAAAACCAGTGGTCTTAGGGTAAAGAACTAATGCCCTAACTCAAAGGTAAAGCCTTTCTTTGAAGAGAGCAAACATGGGAGAAAATTCTGACATTAGAAGAACAAACTGGTCTAGAAGCCAACAGGGACAGCATTATGTATAGACTGCATTCACTGATGTCATCTCCTGAGTTTCAAACCAAGTATGCTTTTCTTGGTCGAATAATCATGTTAAATCATACAAGCAACAGCAATATACTTGAAAATGTGACCATTCAGGAGGATCAGAATAACAAAGCTACTGATAAAAATGAAAATGGTTTCTAATTTTGAGGAATAAAGTTTTCCCAGTTGAATGCCTGAAAAAACTGATAATGTGAATTTCTCATGTACCATTTAAGTTTGCTGTATTAAAAAAAATCATCCTTTTGATTCTGGTTTAAAACCTCAGGTAAATGATAAAGCTTCCTATTTCCCATTAGATCTTTGGCCGAAAAGAGTGTCCATCAGTTCAGCAAACAGCAAACTTTAAAAAAATCTTAATTTACTACTTTGAAGTATGAGACAGCAGGACAATCGCAACCTCAAATCATATCTTTTAGTGAAAATGTAGAGTAAAAACCATAGGCTGAGCATTGCCGATATGGAGATAATCTCGCCTCACACAAACCCAACGTTCCTTTCATAAAGGCTCCTCAGGCATTCAAGTGCCCTGCCTGGAAGGGCAGCACACCTGTCCCTCTCCACAGTAGGTGGTGGGAAAGAGCCTCAGGAACAACCGGCCTAGGAATAGCGGATGGCTGGTAACATGAAGCAAGGTCGGAGACCAGACCACTTCAGCGGAGGCCCAGGCGACACAGGGATGAAAGGCTGTAAGAGGCTGGACACAGGACCATCCGAAGAGCCTTCATTTCTGGGGAGAGTGCAAATTGCTGGTTGTAATACCCACTACTCCCCCCACACTCACCATATCATTTCTTAGTTCTCTACACTAGTGTAGATCGGATCACACAAGAAAACTAAAACAGCGCTATGGAGCAGCACAAAGACAAATTCTTACACAGCAGATAGAAAGTTCTGGGTGATGGGAATTGACAAACACCTGGAAAAATTGAGTACTACTCTAAAAACTATAATAAACAAAGGTATCTTAAGTGACATCCCTTCTAATACACCTAAGATGATTCACAGAATCGACTAAGCTAGAAACTCTTTTTTAAAAAAAAAAACCCACACATACACACGGTAAGAAGCAAAATTCAGTCAGAAATACTTACCTTCAATCGTGTCTTATTTTTTGAGTTCCCTGAGATGACATACATACTTCATGCTACACAGTATAGATTTACAGGATCATTTAGAGGATAGTCAAATTCCTATTTCAACACATAAACCTACAAGATAAATTACATCTTTATAATTACTTGTTGCTATAAAGTTATTCAAATCAGGCTAAGTAATCTTGGCACAGGTCAAATTTTAGAGTATTATTAAGTCCCTGAGGTTTTTTAATAGGCTGATTCTTGCAGCTGTCTCTTCTCTGGCTGCCTGGGCCTCTTCGCCCCACAATGCTGGTGAGGACCTCAAGGTTAACTATAGGTCAGCAATCAACAGCAAACCCCTTCTAACAACTATGCACTGCAGAAGCCACGTAGCTTTTCTTAACATGATGATTCAGAGTCCTTGGCCCAAACAGCGACCCCTATGGATTTATTAAAGGCGCATCGGAATCACATAAGGTGCATCGCATCTATCCTTCAAATGTGTAAGAATGCTTGCAATGGTCAGTGTTTCAATTCCTCCAGAGCTTTATGCCTCAGATGTTCATCCAAACATTGGATGGCAAAGAGGTCGATGTCCGTGTCAAACTTATTGGCAAACAAGTGGTGAACGTGCAGCAACCAGTTCAAGTCCCCTGCTCCGAAAACACACACAGAACGCAGGTGGACCCCATTGCAGGGCGGGTAGGGGGCACCCTTGGAAATGTCACCTTCAAAGTACTGCCACTTGACAAACCTGGCGATTGCATGCATGTCAGACATGTCATACTTGTGGCTTAAAGACAGTGACCCTGGCACTTCAGGGATCCTCTGAATAGTGGCCCAGAGGTATTCATCTGGGCTGTATGTGTCCTTTGCCCACTCTATGAATTTCTGGATTTTTTCATTCTTGAGTACGTAATCCACATACTGCCTACTGACTACAAAATAGGCACTGCCTGAAAACAGAGCTGTTTCCAGAGGCGGGGGCATTTTGTCAGTCCCGGTGTTTGTCAGCTTTCCATCAACGACTATATGATGCTTTTTCCACCTTTCTTTTTTATTCGCTGGCATTCTTTCCGTTTCTAGGTTGTTTTCACCCATTAATGATTTGAGTTTCCTGACAATTTCCAGATTGGTTTTAATAGGAAAATCCATGCCACAAAGATTGATCAGGTACTTCCAGTTTGCATTCATGCTGTAGAGGTCCTGCATGCAGTTGAGGTCAGCCTGAACACGACTCCACGATGCATACACCACATTCTCCAACTGACTGGCTACAAAGACGTTACTGAAACAGGATGCAATGCCCATCACTGCAGCCAAAAAGGACTCCTCTGATTTTTTGTCCACGTGAATGCAATAGAAATTCTGAGGCATATAGATAGCTCGCAGGAGCCTGTCAAGCATTTCAATTTTGTGATGAACTACTATAGAATATGCTATTGGGAACTCTGCTTCTTCTCTACTAAGAGGTTCGACAATGTATCTGCGATTCTTGATGAATGAAGTACAATCCCTGGTCATGTTTATATAGTCATAGGTTGTCCACCGAGGGCGATTTTTAAATTTCACTGTTATAATCTCAAGCTTTGCCTTTTGAATTTCATCTACATCACCCTGTAAAATCTTAGTGCAGTTAATGTTACTACCAGGATTCTCTCCATCCAGCTCCAAATGTCCAACACTGACAAATTCGGGCTTTTGATGAATTATTAAAACAGAGAAGGTGATCACGAAAAAACCAAGGAGCAAGAAGTAGTATTTCGTGGGATAAGAAAAAAGTCTCCTCCGCCGCAACTTCCGCAGCATTTCAAAATATAATCAGGGGCTTTTCTCTCTTAAGGGCAGGCTTCACGCAGCAATGATATTTCCTCTGTCCTGTCCTTGAGAGTTGTCAGTTTGTATTTATCTGAAGTGCATAGGCATCTTGAAATGGAGAATAATACTAAAAGAAAAACAGAGAGAACAAATTGTCTTTTACAACATCTTCCTCTTGGTTATGAGATCATGTGTATAAAACAAAAAAATGGGGGGGCCCTCACAAGAAAAGAGGTTCTGTTCTAGGAAACTCAGTCTTTAGTATTAGTGCCATACTGGTCTTAAAAAAATAAAAAAGCTGAGTACAAGGATGCACTATGATATCGTACAAATTTTGCCTCTCAGGTAGACTGAGGTGTAAAACACAGCTTAAGACCTAAGCTGTAATTTCTGAATTCTTCACAGTTGCTGATTTCTTGATCCTGTGCCACTTATGATTAGCACTACTTGCCTTTATCTTATTACTAATCTGAGTTCCTCCACATATATCCAAAACACCCATCAGAGCTGGCATCAGCAGCCCTGAAAAAATAAGAGGTTTGGGATCATATATATTTGTCAGGTTAAGACTGGGATATATTTAGGGAGAAATTCAGAAATGACTCTTTGAAAGAAGACTGAATGGACCAGAGGGGCTCAGATGATCTCTGGCCAGATTTGGGGCTATTCTGCGTTGACCTGACTTAGTTCAGTTCCATAGCAGGCATCAGAGTAAGAGAACATATTGCATAATTCAAAATGGATAAACTTGCATTTCCTGCCTTGGTCATAACAGGTTACTTTAAACCTTGTAGGAAAACAACAGTAGTGCACAGATTGTAATTTAGGACAGACTTTCTCTATATTCAAATTCCAGAATTGAAATGTACCTTATATAGAATGCATACAGAATTCAAATGGTTTCAAAAACTGAATTTTATAATTTGGCAATTGGTCCTACAACTAACAGGTGCTGTTGTTCCAGCAGTCAAATGTATGCCCACCAGATTTATACCCAAAGTATATGTCAAGTTCGTTGAAAAATCAACCCAATAAAGCAAATCTTGCACTTGAATATGATGCTCATCATCCTCCAACCATCCTGACCACCTCTCCCTCCCCTCCAAAACTGCATTAGAAATGCATTGGGAGATTCTGCTGAAATACTTAGCCATTAAAACAATAGAGCAGGCCCTCCCTGGTGGCGCAGTGGGTTAAAGCACAGCACTGAGAATCTGAAGCCACTTCCGCATGAGTTCAATTCCCGCCTGCCCCGGAGGAGACCACATGGCGAGCCAGACCTCTCCTGACCAGCCCGCTGCTTCCCTCAGCAGTGTACTTCGTCGATCTGCCTGTTCTGCTCCCCACTCTGTCTCTGGTGAAGCCTCTCACCGCCCCTGAGCCTCTGGCCTGTACCCCAGTTCTGCATGAATAAATAAATAAATCTTTAAAAAAAAAAAAAAAACAATAGAGCAACTCCTGCTCCTTAATTGGTCCACAGAATGTTAGGAAACGACTGCCTAGTTACTAGATAACCTCTAAGCTTACTGAACAGAGAATCACAGAGACACAGAAGTTAGAAAATTAATCCAAGCAAGTTACTAAACAAATAACAACAACAAACTTTGCATCAGGCAGAGGAAGAAATCTGATTACCAGAAATGGCACATTATAAATGTTCACTTTCAAACAAACAAAAGATCATAAGACACAAAACAAATAAACATGAAAGTCTGGCCTGTACATAGAAAAGGAAGTCCATTAAAATGCCTGAGGAAACTCAGGCATTGGGCTTGACTAAACAAAAACTGTAAGCGGCTATTACAAATATTTCTAAATCCCACATTGACAGGCCTGTCATTTTATAACGTTGCTTGACATGCAGGGTGATCAACCTTGTAATATTTTCCTCTTAAGCTATACATTTCATTTATAATCTTGAATCTTTATTTTTTTTAAAAAAAGATTTATTTATACATATAAGAACAGGATATGGGCCAAATGTGAGAGGGTGAGGGGATTCACCAGAGACAGAGTGGGGAGCAGAACAGGCAGATTGTCTGACATTCACTGCTAAGGGGAGCCGTGGGCAAGACAGGAGCAGTCTGCTGTGCCGTGTGGGTCACCTCCCTGGCCGGTGATTGAACTTCTGCTATAGTGGCTGCACATAGCTTCACAGTACTATGCTTTTACCCCTTATACCACCAGGGAGGCCCCCTTGAATTTTTATTTAAACAAGCATTGGTAAAGATCAAAACTTTGTCTTGAGTGCTAAAAATCTAGAAGATTCAAAACCAAAGTAGCCCATTTTGTGAAACATATTTTTGTACTTGGCAAATTAGAACTTGAGAAATTGTATAGACTAAGCATTTATCAAATTTATCAGTGGGTTAGCTTCCTGGTTGGGTATCAAACTCAGGTTGCAGTGGCTGGCTATAACCTGGTAGCACTGAAACTTTAATCCCTGCACCGTCAGGAAGGCCCCCCCAAAAGACAATTTTTACTAAGAATGGTGAAACGTTCACAAATAAGTACAGTTGCTAAGAATAATATGCGTACTTATCCTGGGAAGGAGTAATTTGAGGCAAATGTGTATCGATTGCTGATATGTACCAAGTTTATTATTTCAACTCATTAAACTTGGCCCAATTTCCCAAGTTTGCTTTAAAAATTCTTTAAATACACAAAATGGTATAATCACTTAGAAGTTTCTCATGAAGTTAAATGCTGGCTAGCCTATTATCACAGCAATCATCCTTCAAGGTATCTACCCAACTACCTAATATACATTCACATGAAAATATTTGTGGTAGATTTATTGATATTTGCCAGAAATTAGAAACAATCAAGATGCCCTCCAATAGTAAATGAAGAAACAAATTGTAGCACAACAAGGAATATTACTTAGTGCTAAAAAGAAACTAGTTACCAAATCATACAAACACATGTTGGATACTTAAATGCACACTGCTGAATTAAAAAAAAAAATCAACTTAAAAAGTTTGCATACATTCAACTATATAACATTCAGGAAAAGGCAAAGCTATAAAGACAATGCATTTTAGGACACTGAAATTTTTCTGTATGACACTATTGCGTGGTTATATCAAAGCTCACAGACGTGGTACAACATTAAGAGATTCCTCTTGAGAAAAGGAATTATACAAGAAGTCCTGAAAATGATTAAGAACACTTCAAATCAGAAACTATAGAATCGAGAAGATGTGGATAGCATATTTAATGCACAGAAAGACAGTCAACAAAGAACTTTATAGTCAGCAAAATTGTCGTTATAAATCAATGACAAATCAAAACATTCCCAGTGTCTTACCCAGTAGTTTTAACTCCACATCACTAATAAAGATTCAGAATAGTATACTTTTATAGAAAATGTAGCTTTCTTTGCAACTTTTCCCCCCAACTGAATTTAAAGGCAACTGAATGAATAATTATAACAAGATATTGACAGGCTTATTATTTTTTAAAAAACATTTCATTTTTATTTATGCATACAGAACTGGGGTATGGGCTGGAGGTACAGGGGTGGTGAGAGGATTCACCAGAGACAGAGTGGGAGCAAAACAGGCAGATGGACAAAGTGCAGTGCTGAGGGGAGTAGCAGGTGAGACAGGAGAGGCCTGAGGCCATGTGGGACACCTCCAGGGCCAGGGATCGAACTCACACTGAAGTGATCACAGTCATCTTGTCAGTGCTGTGCTCTAACCCACTGTGCCACCTGGCTTATAATGTTTAAAGAGGAATAGTCCAAAGGAGAAAAGTAATAGTCCAAAGGAGAAAAGAAGAGAGCTATATTAGAGCAAAGCTTTTGAATATTACTGAAAATTAGTTGGTATTAACTGGATGCATTAAGATTATTTTTGTATTTCTAAGATGCCACAACTGAATGCCCTTCTGCAGAAGGCTTTGAGGTCTAATTCTGCTGGCTTCTCTAATCCCAGTGAATACTGGTCAGGGCTCCATTTACCTCTCCAGAGACTATTGTTATGTGACCTAGAGGCTGCTGTGCACACTGCTGTGAGTGATGCCAAAGCCAGACGAGTATCTCAGAGGATCATGACTCAGCACAGATTGCTCAAATGCCACCCTAAGCAAGAAGCAAAGATCCGATGGGGGTGGAGTAATTTCCCCTCCATGGCCTCACCTCATCTGAGGTGGCTTGTCTCTGCCCCCACCCACAGACTTGCCTGCCTTAAGGGTGGTCTCTGGACTGCTGTGTGTGACTCAGTGAGCTGCCACACTCCCTGAGGCCTCCCCTTATACCAAATTTCTGAGGTTTCAACAGTGCCTGTCTCTCCAGACTGGTCAGGAAAAGCTCTTGAAGTCCCTCAGAATCTAGCACCAAGATTAGTAACACTAAGCTCCACAATATGGCCTGTTATCTGCCAGAATTGAGCTAAGAAAACATTGATAATAGGGGACCTTTTATGACTCTGCCTCTGTGTCTCACTCAGAAGGGGATATTCTAGATGACATATTGCAACTAAAGCTAGATGTGATGAAAGAAAAAAAGGTCAAAAACCTATCACCCTTCTTTAGCACCCTCATTCCAGAACCAGGCACAGGAGATGGCAGAGAATAACTCAATTACCTTCATTGAATAAATACAGTCACTCTCCAGGGAAGTCCGTGTTCTTTGGCTAAAAATTTAATATCTGTCCCTGTTCACTTTGCATGTCAAAGAATTCAATTTCTAGTTCTCTACACTTGCAACAGGTACAAACCTATCAAGAGAATAGATTTAAACGGATGATTTAAAGATGAAATGAAAGTGATTTATTTTTTTTTAAGTCCAAACCCCTCAAATCCAATGAATGTAACTTAAGAAATGACAACATTTTGAAAGCTGGAAGGGATGAATCCTAGCTGATTTGGGAAGTCTCAGAAAGCTGAAACCTACAACACAGAGTGGGGAAAGAAGAGAAACGACCCAATGTACAACACAGCTTCCACCTCCTCACCCCAACAAACCACCCCCCAAAGACTCAAGAATTGGCAGCACAATTCCTTGGGAAGCAGTGAGGAAATGGAGTTAAAAACTAAAAATAGGTTGAAAACCTATTTACAAGGCAGTTGGGAGCCCCAGGTGACTCCCCCGATGCATTTGGAGTCCTGGACCCAGCAAAGACA